GACAAAACCTTGTGACAAGACCGAGAATATTTTTTAAAATAAAGAAATGGTATTCGATTTTTAAAACCATGGAGTTTTCAATTAAAAAGATTTTAATATGACAGGAACAGTGGAAATATTCCATTCCCGATACTTTTAGTGCAGCCTATCATGTTCACACACTGCAGACTTTCCGGAATGTCGATACTCAGCTATACGTTCTTTCAAAACTTCAGTTCATCTTAATAGCTGGTATTTCTTCTTTATATCACTTAAAATATCTGGTCTTAATATAATTAAAAGGATTTCTTTTCTTAAAAAACGAAAGAAATAACACAACTGGTTGACTCATAACGTCTGTAATAAGTTAAATGAAAATAATTAAACAATGCAAAAATCGAGTTAAAAGGAAATTGAAAACCTTCTAAAAAGAGACGCTTAAGGTTTGGTTTGTTTGCATATTGTTATATCAGTAGTAGACTGTGATTTATATGCTATTTAAAATGTAATCGAAACGTGTTTTGAATAAAGGACACCTAAAGCGGAAATAAGGGAAAACATTTGCAACGTCGTTAGGCCTAAACATCAATGATTTATCTTGTTATAATTTCCTGAACTTAACAATTCAAAGCGTTATGGTACCACTGATTAGTATAAAATTATTATATTATGGTTAGTATAACATTATATAATGTGCAAACAGTTTTAAAAATGTCTAATATGCGTATAGAATAAAACAAATTAATACCTTTTTATATAATGGTATAATTTCACAATCCTTATCCTTTATTTATAAGAAACCCGCAAATTACATCACACAATTTTGAAATGAGTTTGATTATGCTATAAAAATTGAATTTAATAAATTATAAAGAAGCGTAAATAGCTTAATTCATAACGTATCGATGCTTGTAAGTTTTATATATAGATGGCATACAAAATTAAAAATATATCATTGTTTACATTAGCTTCCACCAGTATCGTGCGACCTCCCGAACAGCCCCTGACACTTGAAGCGTAAAAACATAAAATGGCCGGGCACATGAAGGTTAAATTAGTTTAGGATATGACCACACAATGTAGTAAATAATTAAGTTTAATTCTGTATTCATTCCGTAGTTTGATTTGACTTTTCATTATTCATGTTACCCGGGCATTATAAAATCTCTAGCTCATGGGGAAATAAGCTTAAAATCAATTACTAAATTCGACATGGACAGACACGAAAGCGAGTTAATAAAAACGTGGTTATAAAAACAGGTTACAGCCCTATTCATAAGAGTATGATTTCTATGGTATGAAGACAACCAGCGAAACTATTGCCGTGCACACCAGATGCTTTGAGTTCTAACAACTGTACTTACTTTCATCCAGAATCAAAATGCTAACTTGCTGTTACACTCACGCCTGTCACCCAGAGGGGTAGGCAGAAATTATGGACTTCCATTTGGCACGATTCTGACACACCGCTCTCGCTTCCTCCACATCCATATACCTACGCATACACGCTCGTCGGTTAAAGGTACACTTGATTTGGCCCATTTTTATTATATTGCTAATTTGGTCGATAAACTTTCGCCTAGGGCTCTCACTTACCTCTAAATATCAAAATTGAAAATAAAATTGCTTCCATTTGATAAGAAATGAAAAATAATATTATAATTCTGTTTTCACGATTTGTAAATATATCCATGCTTTACAGATAACTCAAATACATGTATGTATTATTTATTTATTATAGCGTTATATTTTTTTTAATAATTATGATTAATTGTTTAATTCTTACAACTAAACAATTTTATTCTGTATGGTACTTAAGTTAGGCACAGGTTGTTCCGTATTTGATGTCTTTATTTACTTTTCATTGATGGTTCGGTATAATTTTATAACTAGAAATAGTACAATTTGAAAGGAAAACATCTCGTCTTACGTATAACATTTCGAATATTTTTTTCTTACTGGCAAGCACTCTTTAACTTTGAAGCGAGCAACCCTTTTTTCAACTACACCCGCAACGACTACTAGTAACGGCCAACTTCCTCGTCAACGCAAGCATTAACGCTTTTGACGGTACCTTGTACGCGCGCGTTCCGTTACCAGCAATAGATAAGATCTCATTTCCCTGCTCCATCGAATACTAAGGCAGCTTTCCATACCTGACCTGTGGATAAAAGAACAATAGTGGACACATTCGGCCAGAAGATACATCACACCGGGCCGGTAAACGTTGGGCAGCTCAGAAATTACCCAGGTGAGTGTTTGCCAGGTCTTATGTACATAACATAATTGTTTTTTGGACCTTGCGAGCCAAATCTTTCCTTTCAAATCGTGCTGTCTTAGTAAGAGTGTTATCTTTAGTTTCACACACACTTTAAATTTTAAAATTTAACGTATATACGTACTTTCACCGACGTGTCGTATAGGCCATCTTTGCAACGCAAAATGCCGGATCCAGCACGAGTTGAAGAATTTATGTGTGATGTTTCATGCGAGCAGGACATGTTCGAACGCGATATTATTTTAGATGATTTAAAAAGAACATTACAGTTCGCAACGACCGATGAACAAAAGTTCCGTTCGCGAACTAAAGATCTTACTGCACAACAAAGAAAGTTTAGTAAATTACAAACTAAAATAGAAAAATGTCTAATAAAGACAAAAATGTTTAACAAAGATGAACAAATTAAAATTCGTAACGATTTTGATGACGCATACTACGCTATTGTCACGCATCTGAGCAAATTAAAACAAGATGACGAACAAGTCAGGCGTATGAGTAGGTCTTTTAACTCCGAATCGTTTGCACAATCCCACAATCCAAAATTGCCTAAAATTCCCTTGCCCAGCTTCTCGGGTAATAGTACTGACTGGAATTCATTTTATGACTTATATATTTCACTCGTACATAACAATAACGCCTACACGGATGCGGAGAAATTCAGATATTTACTCCTTACTTTAAAAAATGAACCTTATAATTTAATTAAATCAATTCCCATTACCGACGCGAACTATTCTGTAGCCTTACAGGTATTAATTTCGCGTTATGAGAACAAAAGAATTATAGCTTCCACTCATCTCGACAAAATTCTCGATGTTGAACCTTGTTCAGAAAAATCAACAATCAGCTTACGTAATTTACTAAACATTTACCAAGAAAACATTAAAGCACTTGAAGTCATGAAATTTCCTACAAACGAATGGAGTTTTATCTTATTAACGATTTTACTGCGAAAAATTCCTTCATCTATCCGCAAACGTTTTGAGTTATCATTAAAATCACCATCAGAAATTCCTGATATCAACACACTAATATCCTTTTTGGAGCGGGAGTTGTCCGCAAGCGAAATTTCTCACCCTAATTTCGGTCAAATTACTAAACACGAGGGTCAATCAAAATCAAACGCACCATCAAGCAGCGGCGGTAGCCTCACGACGGCATCTCCGGGCGCACGCCGTATATTTATAGGAAACAACACATCACAGCCTGTTTCAGAGTCTGCATATAATATTCCAAACAAATTTCCGAGTGTTAAATATTTCCATTGTATATGCTGCGACGCCCAACATACACTAACTAAATGTCCGACGTTTTTAAACCTATCACCCAAGGAGCGCTATACATTTATTAGTGGTAAAAACGTTTGCTTTAATTGTTTACACGTTGGACACGACGTTAAGCAATGCAGATCAAATTTTATGTGTCGGACGTGCAACAAACATCATCATACGCTAATTCATTTCGATAATCAATCTTATATAGGTGCTACCGAGACAGCTGATCCGCATGACAGCTCCGCTTCACTCCCTCCTACAGCGTACGATCCCGCCACTTCGAGCGATTCTCAGCTGGTTATGACGTCGATACATCACACGACTCGCGACGCTAGCGCGCAATCTAGTTCTGCTCCGTCAGTACGAACGAGTACAGTGTTACTGTCAACAGCGCTCATCGATGTTTACGTAAATAATCATAAGCGATCGACCGTGCGTTTTCTCATAGATTCGGGAAGCCAGGTTTCCTTTATTAGTGAGGCGTGCGTACAACGTTTGGGCTTAGCGAGAAAACATGTCAATATTCCTCCTGTTTACGGAATCAATGAAAACAAACCGGTTTATCCAAAGGGTTTAGTTTCGTGCTATATTACACCAAAAAATAAAACACAACCTTCGGTACAAATCGATGCCTTAATCTTACCGAAGCTTATTACTACACAAATGCCCTCTTGTCAATTACCCTATAAGGAATGATCACACATTAAAAATTTGACGTTGGCTGATCCCGATTTCTTCACACCACAACCCGTAGAAATGTTACTTGGAGCGGACATACTTCCCCAAATTCTATTAAACAATACGGTGACTGGGCCTCCTGGTACACCCATAGAATAAATAGTATTTTTGGATATTTACTGCTAGGCAAGCTAGATTTTAATATTCATTCACCCGTTTCATTCCCAGTTCAAGTGTTTTACAGCTCGGTTAACGATGAGTTTGATCTTCAACGCTTTTGGGAAATAGAATCAATTACAGAACAAAGGTCTCTCACTCCCGACGAAGTTTTGTGTGAGACAATTTTCGAAAACACGCATACGCGTAATGATACAGGACGATATGTAGTCGCTCTGCCTTTCAAGCCTGACGCCTTGCCCCTTGGTGAGTCACGTGACATTGCTATCGCTCGATTTCGCAGATTAGAATACAAGCTTGAACGCAATCCGCCACTGAAATATAGTTATCATGCATGCCTCCAGGAGTACTTGGACCTTGATCACATGGAACCTTGTGATGGCCTTTCACCTAAATCTGGTGGCTCCTATTATATTCCGCACCACTGCGTGGTGAAGGAATCTAGCGAAACAACAAAAATGCGAGTGGTCTACGATGCAGGTTGTAAGACTACCCATGGGAACTCCCTGAATGATGTTTTGTTTACAGGACCCAAACTCCATCTGGATATAGTCGACGTTCTACTGAAGTTTCGAATTCATTCTATTGCCTTCACAGCTGACATTAAACAGATGTACCGCAACATTTTAGTCCGTGACACAGATAGGGATTTTCAGCGTATCGTATGGCGCACTTCTCCTGACGAACCTATACGTGACTATCGCCTTCGTACTGTAACTTTCGGAGTTAGTTCCTCGCCTTACCTCGCACTTCGTACAATGCGACAACTTGCGCTTGATGAAGCCACTCGTTTCCCACTTGCTTCTCAAGTCATAATAGGTGACATATTCGTAGATGATATAGTGTCAGGCGACAATACGGAGGCAGAAGCTCTTGCTCTACAACAGGAGTTAATAAGCATATGTCAGGCTGCCGGCTTTACTCTTCACAAGTGGCACAGTAACTCGCCTGCGTTACTCGCTGCGGTTCAGCCCACAAGTTCTCATGGTGAGCAGCACCATTACGTACCTTTTGCGGAGATGGAAAATGACATGAAAACTAAAGTACTTGGTCTTCAGTGGAACTCAAATTCAGATTCATTTACTTTCAGTGTTCAAATTACCTCTAACAAATGTACTAAGCGTTCGATTCTTTCAGAAATTGCTAGAATTTATGACCCACTTGGCCTTTTATCGCCAGTCACCATTTTTGCTAAGCATTTAATCCAGTTGTTGTGGATAGCAAGTGTAGATTGGGACGAAAACCCACCCCAAGATATAATAAATTCATGGGCCAGTTTTACTAACGAGCTTCCACTCTTATCGAAAGTTACTTTTCCGCGACATGTATTTACCCACACTCATTCTGTACAACTTCATGGGTTCTCAGACGCATCCGAGAAAGCGTATGCCGCATGCGTCTATCTTCGCGTGCGGGGAGACATGGGTGCAGTGGATACTTACCTTCTTTTAGCTAAAACACGCGTGGCGCCTACTAAACGTATGTCCATACCGCGCCTAGAGCTCATGGCGGCCCTATTATTATCTAGATTAATGAAAGCTACCTTAAATATTTATGGGAATCGCATACCTCGCGATCAGATATACGGATGGTCTGACTCATCTGTGGTACTAGCGTGGTTGCGTTCTTCGCCACATGAGTGGAAAACCTTTGTTTCCAATCGCATAACAGAAATTATAAGTAATATTCGGTATTGCCGTTGGCGGCATGTTCCGTCTGCAGACAATCCGGCAGACGCGGCTTCACGCGGAATGCTTCCCGCCAATTTTTTACATCACAGCATATGGTTCCGCGGTCCTCACTTCTTAAAAAAGGATGAGGCTACTTGGCCTGTTTTCAAAGCTACTCAGACACAAGAAGAAAAACGTAACATTGCAATTGTTTCCAATCCATGCACTTCTTCTTCCACCAACGACGACGTAGAAATTATATCACGTTATTCATCCCTGGGTAAACTGGTACGTGTCACTGCTTTATTATTCCGTTTCTATAAAAAATGTAAGAAGGTTCAAACCCCTCTTTCTAAACATATTTCCGTAACCGAGTTCAATTTTACTTTGAATCGACTCATATTTCTTGTACAACAATCCGTTTTTCGTGATGACATTTACAACCTTTCTAAGGGAAAACTCCCATCAAATCAATTAAGACGCTTAAATCCCTTTATTGACTCAAACAATTTTGTTCGCGTAGGTGGGAGGATACATAAGTCCCTTTTACCATATGAATCAAAACACCAATTAATCTTCCCCTAAAAAACATCCGTTATCGATTCTAATTATTAATTACACTCACGTATCTCACTTGCATGCCGGTGCGCAAAGTACACAATACATACTTCTACAAAAATATTGGATCTTATCCGGGCGTGACGTCATACGGCAATGTATTCATCGCTGTGTCCGTTGTTTTCGAGCATGTCCCGTGCGCCAGCAGCCCAGCATGGGTCCATTGCCTGCCTCACGTTTTCGACCCGAACGACCCTTTCTTAAAACCGCCGTTGATTTCGCTGGTCCTTTTTACGTTCGAGCTAACAAAGTGCGAAATGCAAAAATAGTAAAATGTTACGTCTGTGTATTTGTATGTATGTGCGTTAAGGCCATACACCTCGAAATAGTTTCGGAACTTACAACAGAGGGTTTCTTAGCGGCACTACGTCGCTTCACGTCTCGCCGAGGTTTATGCAAGGATATTTATTCCGATTGCGGTAAGAATTTCATCGGCTGTGACAGGTACCTAAAGGACTTGTATGCCTTCCTACGGAATGACACTATACAAGGCGCGCACCAGAATAAGACTCTGGAAGAAGGAATAACATGGCATTTTCAGCCACCGTATGCAAGTCATTTTGGTGGCCTCTTTGAAGCGGGCGTCAAAAGTTTTAAACACCATTTTCATCGGGTAGTAGGTCCTCGTATCCTAACCTATGATGAGATGCATACCCTATTATGTCAAATAGAGGCAGTGCTAAACTCGCGTCCGCTATGCATATTGAGCTCCGATGCGCAGGATCCCCTCCCTCTAACTCCGTCTCACTTTCTGATAGGTGAACCGTTAACAGCTATCCCCGACGTTTCACTTGTAGATGAAAATCCGGGTAGATTATTCAGGTGGCGTTTGATACCACAATCGGTTCAACATTTCTGGAAAAAGTGGAGCTTAGAGTATTTGCATGAAATTCAACAACGTGGCAAATGGTTCACCAATCGTGGAAATCCGGTCCGTGAAGGCATGATTGTGGTAGTATGCGAGGATAACCTTCCACCTTTACAATGGCGACTTGCGCGTGTACACCATCTGCATCCAGGTTCTGATGGGATTACGCGTGTTGTAACTCTCCAAATTGGGAAAACATATTTGAAGCGACCAGTTAATAAAATTTGTCCACTTCCTATAGAATAATAAACGTAAATAATGATTCATATTCCTTATTTTACTTTCTTTAGAAATAACTTAAATATTTATCCGTAATTTTAAGATATAGTTTGATATTTACTAGGTTTAACTTTATTTATACTTCTTACATTTTTTTTATCAAGGGCTAGTTTGTATTACAGATTTGTTTAGATTTAGTTAAAAGATACTGCGTACTTTTAAGGTGAGCGGCATGTTCCGTATTTGATGTCTTTATTTTCTTTTCATTAATGGTTCGGTATAATTTTGTAACTAGAAATAGTACAATTTGAAAGGAAAACATCTCGTCTTACGTATAACATTTCGAATAAATATTTTTTCTTACTGGCAAGCACTCTTTAACTTTGAAGCGAGCAACCCTTTTTTCAACTACACCCGCAACGACCACTAGTAACGGCCAACTTCCTCGTCAACGCAAGCATTAACGCTTTTGACGGTACCTTGTACGCGCGCGTTCCGTTACCAGCAATAGATAAGATCTCATTTCCCTGCTCCATCGAATACTAAGGCAGCTTTCCATACCTGACCTGTGGATAAAAGAACAATAGTGGACACGTTCGGCCAGAAGATACATCACATCGGGCCGGTAAACGTTGGGCAGCTCAGAAATTACCCAGGTGAGTGTTTGCCAGGTCTTATGTACATAACATTATCTCATCTGGTTGGGCTGTATTAATATATAATTATAAAGGACAGATATAAATATACATAAATTTTAATAAAATAAATACGTAAAAATACATAAATGTATAAAAACCCAACTAGTACCAAGCCCTCTGCACGGGAGGCCAAACGGCCGAGGGTTAGGAAAAGAGGGAAAGAAACCGGCCGACGATGCGGGTGGTATTAGTTAGTTGATTATTATTATTATTTAAATAGAGTATCTATAAAGATTATTATTATTATTATGGGGTATTTAAAAAGTATTCTCATCTGGTTGGGCTGAATAAATATATGAAAGAAATAATAAATAAACATAAAAATATATTTAATATACTTACATTAATAAATAAATAATACATAAATCAAATCACAACCAGATAGAAGCCCACGGCAGGGTAGACCAAACGCCCGAGGGTTAAAAGGGGAAAGGCCAAAAAACCGGCGGCCGATGCGGGCGGTATGAAGAAGAACCGCCTTTTGCATTTGAGCACGGAGCGGTCCGTCACGGAGTCCCAGTCACCTCAGATAACCCGTTATTTTTATTAATTTGAGTATCCAATAAAGTATTCTCATCTGGTTGGGCTGAATAAATACATATATAAAAGGAAATGATAAATAAATATTTATCCATATTATGGGTATCTATATAGCTTTCTTATCTATTTGGGCTGTATAAATATATAATTGTAAATGAAAATGATAAACATACATAAATATCAACAAAATAAAATAAATACATAAAAATACATAAATAAATAAAAACCCAACCAGATGGAAGCCCTCGACAGGGGAGACCAAACGGCCGAGGGTTAGGGGGAAAGGGAATGAAACCGGCGGATGATTCGGGTGGTACCGAGGAGCACCGCCTTCTGCATTTGGGCTTAGAGCGGTACGTTACGGAGTCCCAGTCGCTTTAGATGGCTCGAGAGGCTGACTGGGATTAACCCGTTCGCAGAAATGACTACAGCTATAATTTCGGCCGGCAGTCCACCCCACATGTCGGTTACCTCGTGAGCCAGGTCCAGATATTTTGTACGCTTAACTGTTTCGGCTTTCACGAGGTTCTTGTCATACAGAATGGAAATGTCGACTAAAAATAACCTTGACTGTGCCCAGTCCATCAGCATAATATCAAGCTTATTCGCAAGAATGGTCCTATCTGTGATAATGGCCCGGTCCCAGTAGAGCCTGGCGCGATCATTTTCGAGCACGGCTTCCGGCATGTAATTATATTAAGGCAGTTTCCGATTCACGAGACCGTATTTCAGAGCGAGCTACTGGTGTAGAATCCTGGCTACTATGTTGTGCCTATGCAAGTACTCAGAGTGAGAAAGCGTCGAACAAGTGGAGATGACATGCCTATGTGATTCACCGGGATGGCGACAATCTCGACAAATGTTGACGGTGCCATCCCTTAAGATGTATCTCCGATAGTTATATCTGTAGATAGATTTTATTAGCACAGAATAACATTATGTATTAGAACGTCGCGCGCTATCAATTCAAGAACAGAGTTTCAAACCGACTTTGTTATTAGCGCAAAGATAAGCTAAAGATAAACGGATTTATACAAAGACATTGAGGCGTATCTACACACGTTCATCTACATCGGATACATTATTAATGAAGCTGTGCTTTAAAAGCGTTTTAGCATTTTTAACATCAACCTATGTTTTCAAAGATTAAAGGAAACGTACGGCAAGGTAAACACTTCTTTAATACTGTTTACGTAATTCAATTTTTTTTCATGGCCCTTTAATGGATGTTAAAAAAATTTGCTTGTAATAAAAACTTGAAGCCGACCTCAAAGAACTAAAAAGGATAAAATTATTTCACATTCTAAGTCAAACCTAAGATATGGAAGAATTAAAGCCCCGACTTCGGAATTTTAAAATAATTTTATTTATTTTTTTTTGTTTTTGTAGTCGCCTTTAATTTTTATAACTATTTTGCGGAGACTAAGAAATAAGTATCATAATCTTTATAACGTCTAAATTGTTACATTAAAAATTACATCGACTATTTAACCACCCTATCGGTGGATTTCTTGTCCAAATTTATATGTCAATTCCCTAAAAAATATAACCTATATAAAAAAGAATCGGAAAAACACAATCCGTTCACAATTACGGAAGATATCCCGTAACATACAGTTGAAATGTAAACCTCCTACTTTTTTCGAAGGCGGGTAAAAAGGAAACATATTAAGAAGGGATGGATTATCTTCAGGTGCTGCCACACGGTAAATAATACTAATTTATAATAATAATAAGTATTAAAAAAAATTTCAAACATTTTAAAGTAGTATTACTCATAGCGGTATTAAACAGTGACTATTAATTTTATTCTAGTGTCAAGGGGTATCATTCATCATAAACATTTCAGCCTATCACATGTCCACTGCTGAACATATCTCTATAATATAAATATATATATATATATATACACATATCTCTTTTTGTCACATCCGCGGTACCACCGGCGCAAGGCCCGTCCTCAGGTAGGAGAACTCTCATACTCAAACTTCTTCTTAGGTAAGGCATGCTGCGAATATCATGATATTCGCCTGTGCAACGCCCCTCCCCCTTCGTCCAATACGTGGATGTCATGGCAGTATATACAATATGAGGTTCAAGTCTTTTTGGTCCCAGCGGCTGTTCTAGTTTATGGATCCACCGCTAACCACGTTTTGGCCACAGAGTGTTGGAACAGCGGCGCATCTCAATACTGACACTGCTCTCCCCCGCGGCCCTACCACGGCCGCATCAGTGCGACCACACTAGTGTCGCGGGCTATAGGACGAGGTGCCATACCAGCACTCCTCTTCCTCCGCCACTCCATCATTAAGAGGACGACCTTTCCACTGCAGTCAACCAATATGAACAAGCAAATGTTTCGAACTCACCTCTCTTAAACATCTCTAAGCCTGCTCTCTAATAACGTTGTTGCCTCACCCTCAAAGGGACCAGCGATTGGTAGCGCCTAGTTGGAGAGTAGGAGGGTGTTTTGCTGTGGTTTGTTATTAATTTTACAGTAAGCGGCTGCGTACGTCAGATGGTGATTGGTCACATGTTTTATCGCAGTTATATAAATAACAGCTATTTTGGCTCGCTGCTCACTTACACACACTCACTCACTCACACCATGCGGTGGCTGACCGCTATTTACTATTTACCTA